TTTTAAAAAAATGTAGTGAGTAGAAAGTACAGATAATTGTGTAAAAATGTAATGAGTAAAAGTAAAAAGTAGGCTGAAAAATAATTACTCCAGTAAAGTACAGATAACTAAAACTTCTGCTTAATACAGTAACAAAGTATTTGTACTTAGTTACTTTACAGTTGTAAAGCAGAGTTCTGCTCTGTGTCTGACTCTGCTCTTTATCCCATAAACAGATGTTTTTTCCATGTCTCCTGCACAGATATCAACGAGTGCCAGTCCTCTCCGTGCGCGTCGGGCTCCACCTGCGTGGACGAGATCAACGGATACCGATGCCTCTGTCCTGCAGACCGAACTGGACCCCACTGTCAAGAAGGTACCTCCCCTCGCAAAGTGAGCATCTTTAAATATACAAAAGCATCCCTGACGCTAAAATCCATCTCAACGCAGAGACAAGAAAGCACTGCTCCGTTAACGGACACGTGACCCTGGATGGAGCCACGTGGGAGGAGGACTGCAACACCTGCCACTGCTCCAACGGGAAGGTTGTGTGCACGAAGGTACGTCTGCACAAACTGCGCTCACCTGTGCAGGGCCTCACGCCTCTGTTTACGGACGAGAGAGGCTGTGGGGAGAGTGGTTCCCCACTCGAGGCTTGTTCTCAGCTGTGGGTTGGGCCACAACAACATTCTGTGCTCAGGGTGGAGCTGCTTTGGGAGTGTCAGATTCTGTGTAGGGATGATACAGTTTGCTTTTTAAAAAAAAGGCTGCACAATGGTGCTATTATAAGTCAGTGTCAGGTGCCAAACGCAGAAACTCCCACAGTYGGACTGGATCGACCGAGGGTTGTGTAATTCTTACGGGAGCAGCTTGAGGTAGCGTTATCGTGCTCATCTAACCACCGAGGGAACAAAAGCACGTTACTGGTTCTGCTCGTGGGAGTGAAAGTTAATATGGAACTGTAAAATCTACTCCAGGCTACTGTTTTGAACCTGACGTTTCTTGTACTTTCTCCAAACAGGAGCTTGTTTGTGTCGTGCACAAGTCRCATTCATTTTAATTGGCAACTAAAATGCCAATAACTGCTTTTAGTCTTGTTGTGCTGCAGAGATTAAAAGCTGAATCCTGTTTTTCCTCTGCAGATGTGGTGCGGCCCCAGGTCGTGCAAACTCAGCGCCAAGGGTCGAGGCGGGTGTCCGCTGGGCCAGAGCTGCGTGCCTCTCAGAGAGGGCCACTGCTTCGTGAAGCCGTGCGTGGAGCTCGGGGAGTGCTGGCGCCCCAACTCTCCCCAGCCTCCTATCAAATGCCACCCCAGCTCCTCTTACCAGGACAGCAGCTGCGCCAACATCACCTTCACCCTGAAGAAGGAGACCATGCCTCAGGTGAGTTCTCCGAAGAAACGGTCGGTTTTTTTCCCTCTCCTCGTTACGACTTGTAAACGATGGCAACAGCAGAGATCAGAGTTCCAGGAGAGCTCCCGCCTTTCCTCCAGGGCAAAAACAAACTCTGAGGAGTTCATTTAGTTTGTAAACAGTTGTCTAAATCCACACTTAGGTGAACTAGTGCAGTGCTTCCCAAACTTTTTACCTTCGAATCCACAAAATACCCACATCAGAAGCTTGTCACCCCGAATAGTACTGGTCTGAGTACACAAACTTTGTCAGTAACTCTAATAAACAAAGGCTTTTTTCATCTAAAAAGCTTTTTCATTATTTTGTTTTTGTAATAATTATAGGAAAAATAATACGTCAGTTATTTTATTACCTTTTTAAAATTGATTTCTGGACATTATCCAAAGTTATTTATGACCCACAACTGGGTCACGACTCCAACTTTGAGACATTTGTCAATTAAACATGGACATAGTAACAGTATTCATTATACTACATTCATCTATTCCAGAGGTCTGCAACCTTTATGATCAACAGAGTCATTTCTGCTCCTTGTCTCACTAATAAAATGTGTCCGGAGCCACAAAACAAGCTACAACTGTGATTATCAACTGGTGGTTCGTGGGCCCTTTTGGGAAACCTTTACGGTCAGTGGAGGCAACATTATAAAACTAAAAAAAACATTGCTGTTGTTATTAGTAATTATTATTGTTGTTGTTGTTGTTGTTGTTGTTGTTGTTATAATAAGCATCAGGACAAATAAAAAGACCATATTAATGTAAACAAGAAAAATACTGTATATACTCTAGTTTATACCGATTTTCATAAAAACTACTACAATTATTCAGGCTTTTTTTTCCTAATTCTTATTATTATATAGTAATTAAATGATTTAAAGGTAATTCTGATGGATTTGAAAGATCATAGAAATAAATTAGATTATTTAAGTAAACAGCAGGCTAGCATGAGCTAATGTGTTTTACTTTTTGTATTAGTAATATTGATCACATATTTGCATACAAATTAATTAAGCCACATGTGGCCCCAGAGCCGCAGGTTGCAGACCCCTGATCTATTCTAAAGTAGACATATGATRCTTTTAAATCCTTCATTTTTACATTTCAATCCTTCAGTTGGGGTCTTTATAAAGTGGAACTAAAAGCTTTGGTCTGAATTCCTTATTGGAACTTTACCAGCCCCTCTTCCACCCCTTTTCTGGTGTGCGTCTCAAAGAAGCTGGTTTTGATACTGTTCATTTTAAGGCACGTCAAGCCCCGCCCCCCTCCAGCTTCCAGACCGGTCTGCTCCAGTTTGAGAGAGGGGGATGATTTGATCTGGTATCTCTGGTTCATTTTGTTAATCAGAMTGATGCAAACATTAAAGCCAACCATTTATTGCCATTTATAGTTATTTACAATATGCCTATTGCACAGGCTGTTATCGCGATGATGATAAATTTGCGGCCTTAATTTTCTAGCAGTGAAGAAACATTTTTTACAATTTAATTGCAACRAAAGACTTGTCCATTCAGCCTTACATGTTGGCGCCAAAGTCTGACCCAGAACCAGAGAATTAAGACGAGGAAATTGTAATTGGTAAATCCAAACCTAATTTGGCAATTCTGTCAAATAATATGATGTAATAGACTCAGAAAATAGAGAAAACTGACTGAGCTGAAAAATATGAACCAACCAGAATATAAAGATATCTTTGCAGGAGAGACTAAATTCAACTTTTCTGCCTCCTAGAGACACAACTAAATGTATTTACTGGCTAAAAAAATGGATTTTGCATGATGCGTCCCCTTTAAGTACACTAACCTCACTCCTTTGTAACAACTAAGGYGAAAAATAGCTTTTAAATGTCAGGAAATATTTTCAGGACCTCATTTTGGGAAGCACTGCTCTAAACATGTCTTTGCAGCTCTCCTKCTAATTCCTCCATAAGATCCAGGATTCGTTTTAAATGAGAGCTTTAGCAATTCTTTCACATCAAATAATCATCACTCGCCAGGTCCCACTAATCATGACGGAGCGTGGCGACGAGCGTTTGAGCTGGTGGTCTTTAATCTCAGTTAGGTGGGCTGTAGCCAGTTATGAAGCTGCCCCTCCTGCCAAAAGACAAATCCAGATTGGTTGTTTCCATATGTGTGAACATCATCCCGTCTCCCTGTGCAGGGCCTGACTGTGGAAGGAGTGTGCAAGCAGCTGAGGCGTTTGCATATCGTCAAGAATCTTTCCTTGGAGCATTCCATGTCCATAACCTGTGACCCGTCGTTCTCAGCGAGCAACGAGATCCACGTCTGCATCGTGAGTACCTCCCCAGCCCTCTGACCTGCCCCGCRGGTCGACACGTGGAAGTCTCTGATTTATAGCCTGCGGTGGTGTGTTCCACGTGGAGACCCTCCCAACGGGTTGTTTTATGGGACGAGTTGGGAGCGAAGTGGACCCTTCGCTCTCGTAGGTGTGATCGTACTCAAGTTTGAATTTAAACCTGGATTTCTTTGCCTCCAGTCTGCAGAAGATCATCGCTTGGACCGCCGTCCCGTTAAAGAGATCATCGATCGAATAATCGACTTGGTCAGCAAACGGAACGGGAACAACACCATCATCTCCGCCATCGCTGAAGTGCGGGTGCCGAAACCGAACGAAACTGGTAGGAACCAAATTTTTATTTCTTTTCTCCATAAATCAAAAAAAAACAAACCATAAAGGGATCAGTGATTAGTTGTAACATTAGACTTTATTTGATAAACATTTATTTTAACTGTAAAATAAAGACTGTAAAAATACTGTAGGATGTTTAGTTTTGCAAATTTTTAAAAATATATTTTAACACGGACGGAGCCATTTTATTTACACACAAAGCATTCTGGGTAAATGATGACGTGGATAGGTCCTCGGTGCGAGGCTGTTAGCGAGCTATATCCACCCTGAAGGTTAATCTTGGACAATATCTGATGATCGACTCTTAAATGAAACCAGAGAGCGTTGACAGAGAGGAGAAGGTAGAAATGACTCAGCCTGGAACTGAAAATATGGATGGAGGACAACAGAGCTGCTTCATGGAAGAAGAACCTCAGCTTAGCCTGTTAGCTTTAGCATTAGAACTGACACTATATTGCCTTATATGTATTAGCACGGCGCTAGCTAAACTGAGGTCCTCCATCCATATTTTCAGTTGCAGTCTGAGTCATTTTTGTGTTCCCCTCTCTGTCATGTGGATGGAGGACCTCAGTGATGAGAGGAGAATGTGTAGCGCTGAGCTAATACATATATATGGTGATAGCGTCGGGGCTAATGCTAAAGCTAACAGGCTAAGCTGAGGTTCTTCTTCCATGAAGCAGCTCTGTTGTCCTCCATCCATATTTTCAGTTCCAGGCTGAGTCATTTCTACCTTCTCCTCTCTGTCAACGCTCTCTGGTTTCATTTAAAAGCGTCGATCATCAGATATTGTCCAAGATTAACCTTCAGGGTGGATATAGCTCGCTAGCAGCCTCGCACCGAGGACCTATCCACGTCATCATTTACCCAGAATGCTTTGTGTGTAAATAAAATGGGTCAGTCCGTGTTAAAATATATATTTAAAAATTTGCAAAACTGAACATCCTACAGTATTTTTATAGTCTAAAGTCTACTGTTACAACTAATCACGGTTCCCTTTAAAAGACCTGTTCTGATTAATAGTTATCAAAAGTCAGGACTTTATCAGCTGTGATGCAGGGAGGAAGACAAAAAGAGGCAAAAGTCTTGGTCTAGACCAGTGGTTCTCCATCAAGGACCACTATCCTGCATGTTTCAGTTGTTGGTCCTTAACTTCTGCAGAAGTCTACCAATTAATTTAAATCAGGTGTGTCAAAGAGGAAACATCTAAAACACGCAGGACAGTGGTCCTTGAAGACCAGGATTGAGAWCCACTGGTCTAGGGKTGGCTAGGTCTGCTGATCATAGAGTAGTGGAGTGTTTCCAGAACTGGTTTGTATTTAAATGGAAAAAGGAGCCTGTGTGGCTTTAAATTGGCTCTCACTGCAGCTGGCTGGCCTCCTGCATGTGTCCACCATCAATCAACTTGGTGGCGGCGCTCTCCTTTCTTGTTTTAAGTCCGAGAGGTTTGATGGTACCGGCCAAAGTTTGAAACCTCTTTAAAACAAAGCTCGCAGTTTTACATTGCCATTTCTGTGACGTGTCTTCTCTCCTCCCCCGTCAGACTTCCTGGTGCCGCTCCTCAGCTCCGTCTTCATCGTCATCTGGGCGCTCGTGCTGGTCTTCGTCCTGCTGTGGTGCGTGCGGCGGCGGCGGCGGAAGCAGAGCGGCCACGGCGGGCCGTCGCCGACGGGCTCCGAGGACAACACGACCAACAACGTGCGGGAGCAGCTCAACCAGATCAAGAACCCCATCGAGAAGCACGTGGGCCTCACGGTGGCCATCAAAGACTTCGAGAGCAAGAACTCGATCACGGCCAAAATAAGGACGAATCACTCCGAGGGGGACGAGAACGACAAGGAGAGGCACCTGCAGAAGGGCCGCTTCGCCAAACAGCCAGCATACACACTGGTGGAGAGGGACGAGAAGGCACCCGTCTCCAACCCCACGTCCAAGCACCCGAACTGGACTAACAAACAGGACAACAGAGACTTGGAGACAGCAAACAGCATAAACAGGATGGACTACATCGTATAGCAGACGGCTGTGTTGCTGTGCAACCGAGCGTTATTCCTGCACACCCAGGTGGTGGGTGAAACCGGGGAGCTTTGGCACGCGGAGCTTGCGCTCGTGCCACTCGCGACCCCACAGTATTTTTCAGATTTTCCCCGTGTTAATTTAAGTCTTGACAAGCTGGCTTACACTGGCAGTGATGGTTGCTTTGGTTGGCTGGAAAAAAAAAACAAAAAAACAACAAAAACACAAGGCACTGGTCTACATTTCACAGTAGAACGACTTGCAGAAGTGTCCTCCTGTGCATTTCCTCTTTTTTTTCCTTCATATTTGGACAAATGGAAGGGGCTTATGGTGTTATTGTTGTAGAGTGACTCGAACTACTCGACGTGTTCAACACTAGAGCTAATTGTTTTTGGTTTTTTAGCGCGTTCCTTCTAGTTCTGTTTTGAGAAAAGTGCCTTTTTTCAGCTTTAGACTTCAGCAACTGTCAAATAAGAATAAAAAAATCCACTTTATTATTTATTTTATTTTTACGGGGAGGGGAGGGAGGAGAGGGGGTTCGATGTCAGCAGCAGCTGCTGCCAAAATGAAGAATTTATGTGACAATTTAGAACATGTAGATATGTACATTTTTTATTAATCATTGTGTATATTTGATTTATTAACTTAATAATCAAGAGCCTTAAAATATCATTCCTTTTTATTTATGTTCTGTCTAGTTTTGAAGGTTCTGATAGCTGCAGAAACCGACCATTTTTCAAAAAAAAAATTTTTTTTTTCAGCGATTTCAACTTTAAAGCCAAATTTCCAAGAATTTCAGAAAAAAAGTTGGGCACTTTGGGCTTGAAACAAAAACAAACTTTTTTTTTGTTTCGCTTTTCATTTTGACATTTCATTACTTGTTGCCAGGACCTTTAATTGAAGGCAGGTGAGGTGAGGACAACAAAAGAAACATGGCCGCTGCGAGGTTTGGACACGATGGCAGACATATTGCTTGCCACCGACCGGTTTCTACTTACAGGAACAAAAACTCAGCTGATTCAGTTTGACACATTTCAACATCACAAACCAGAATTCCCATCTGCTTTAGTCAGCGTAATATCATAAGCTTAGACCTCGAGTACTTGAAGAGTGGGGGGGAGGGCAATGGGAACACTGTGGAACCGGATAAAACACTGCCTTGCTCTGCGACTCTTTGTTTCTGTGCACATTTTCCCTTTTTTTTTTTTAAACGAGGCTCTTTAAAGACGAACAAGTTTTCTCATTTGTTAACCCCATGGCAACATTTTGTCCCCCCTTTTTTTTTTCTTGTGTTTATGAACTTGAGAATTATGTGTTGATCTGGCAATATATTTTTTGAAAGTCATATTTATTAAATATTTTGTATGAAAAGAGAATTAAAGTCGCCTTTGTTCTGGATGAGACGAGTTTTAAGAGTCTGTCTGTGATGCATGGGGCCAGACATGTCGGAGCACATGAGCRCGTTCTCATGCAGCCGGCGTGGGAACCGGAGCTGGAGACGCATCGTGGACGTGAATGAGGTCCCTGTCCAAATATGTTTACAGCTAATTGCGTTGCAGCTAGCCGTCCGTCGTATTTAAATCAATCCTGAAGACGAAAATACCCTCATGAGCCTTTAGACAACCATTCCCTTGTTGCTCTGAAGCTTTTCCTTTAAAAGCTTTTTAGACGAGCTGGACTGGAGTTTGAGTCCATCACTTCGGAATCTGTTCGAAAGGATTAAAACCAGAGCAAAGATTAGCATCACCTCCTGGGAAAGATCTTAAAAACTTCCAGTTTCACTAATCTGCCACGTCTTTGTCGCCCCCACATTTAATAAAAAAAAAAAAGCTGAGTTGGCTTCAGGTGGCAAACAGGCTTGGGTTACAGATTGGAAAACCCGACGGGCTTCTTTGTCAAAACGTCAGGCAATCTGCTAAAAAAGTAAAAAAAAAAAAAAAAAACCATCCAAACCGCATTGTTTCCATTGGTTAACTGTATTTTTCATTAAATTTGTTAGTGGTTTATATTCTCAATGAACATTTTAAAGGGCCTGTGACATGCCTCTGCTTCAATTACAAAGTGTCAGAAAACATTAAGAAAATTGGCATAGTACGCGTGATTTTACCTGTGTAGTCACATAACAGGCCTAGTTTCTTTTGAATTTGTCTCAGCCAAAGTGAAACAGGAAGTGACATCAAAGGGGAACTCATTAACAAAATAAAATCTCTGGTCTTTGTTTATTAAAACAAAATTATTTGAACTTTATCTCTTTGTCTCTCTCCGATAGTGACTCATAATTAAATAAAAACATCAGATACAGTCTGTATTAGCACAACGCTCTGTTTACATGCAAACATTCCCCTTTGACATCACTTCCTGTTTCTTCACATGCAAATATCTCAACTGTTCATCTCAGCGGTGTGCAATTTGTTTTGCAACACGTTAATGTTATCTTTCCAAAAATGCATTAATTTTTTTATCAAAAATCTCGTCACGGGCCCTTTAAAGATCCGGTGAAGTCTCTAGTGGATCAGTTTTGGCTACTAATGAGTTTGGACAGCAACGTTCACAATAAATGCTTAGGTGACAACAGCAGCTGCGTTTTATAGTCCTATATTTTCAAAATCACTTCTACTCCATCAGTTTCTCAAGTTTTATTTAAAGTCTGAATAAATGCTCAACAATCCAAGCGTTTAGGAACCAAGTATGAAGTAAACCGTATGAGAATAAAAACCTGAAAAAAAAGGGGGCATTTTTGAGAATGGGGTGATGAAACAAATCTGGAAACCCCCATCAATCACATGGGAGCTGGAGCAGGGATACTGGACGCTGTTCAGACGCGTAGGAGCCAGTGTTTCAGACTGGAGGCCATGACGTACTGTGTGGCTCCTGCCTGTCTCAAATGCCTAATCTTTAACACAAAGCCAAATCAAAACTCCAATTAAAAAGGTTTTTCACTTATTTGCGAGCCTCTCTTGGCCCGCTGCTGCTGAAGGGTGGAGGGCCCGTTCACATATTTGACAAAGGAAAACTCGAATGTATCAATTGACAAAGTGGTTTGATATAAAAAGCACATGTGAAGTTCTGCAGTTAGAAGTGACACACGGACTACAAAACATGAAGCCTGTCAGAATATAATCTCCATCTCTGTGGCGTCAGGATTCTTTGCCGAAAGCGTTTCCTCTCCCCTTCAGGACCTCTTCGTTCGCCGTAATCTGGAGGTTCTGGGCACGTTCTCGCTCCCCTCCTCTCTGAGAGCGGATCTGGAACCAATAGAAGAGCCCGAGGATTCGGGCTTGACAGATAGGCCCCTCAGACTTGCGGCGGGCCTGTTTTGGATTGTTGGTGGTGTGTTATTGCTCGTGAGGGGGAGCCTCCGGGCTTGTTTCCCTGGAGTAAGCAGCTCTACTTCCAGTGTGGTTTCCTGGCGCTCTGAGACAAGGGAAGCCTTGGGCTCTGTCTTTACTTGGACTTGAGGAAGTGGCAGGTCGTGGATGGATGTCTGCGAGGAGGACTCGGCGGAGTCGGCTCGTGTTGTGCCTGGAGGTCCTCCAAGGCACGGTCTCTTGGCCGGCTGTAGGTGAGGATCCTCGCCGTCGTCGCCGGGCTCGTGCCTCTTGCTGCTCTTAGAAAGGATTTCAGGCTCTGGTTTCAGCGTTTGGACCTCAGCCTCCTGCTCAGCCGTGGGGATGGCCTTCCAGCTCGGTTTCCTCTCCCCAGCTTTACGTTCCTGTGTTCGGGTTTCAAGATGAGCCTCCTGGTCCGAGCGCTTCTTCTCCTCAGAGCTCGTTTGCTGGACGTTGGCTTGTTTGGCTCTGAAAACGTTGAAAAAAGAAACAAACGAATAAGTTGCGTGYCCTTTCTGACGGCTGGGTTTGGAAAGCTTTAGATCATACTCACATCTTTTGAAGCGCAGACTTCTTTGTTTTTGTGGCGTCCTGTAAAAACTCTTGGGATCCTCCCACACTGGAAAAATACTCAGATCGGGTTTGTTCCAACTAAAGAAGACGAATACAAAAGTTGTAAATCGACCGAATGGTTTGGCTTCATGGTGCTGCCAGATATATAACTGGACTTGAAGGACACCAGCTTTATGCCACAGTTTTAAACTTGGATCACTTTATGCTGGAAACGATGGAGTTCTAGTCATTTGGGTGAAACCTTGCACTTGTGTGATCAAAGCATGTACGCAACTACGCAAGTTCCCCTAAAGCACTAAAGCACTAATAGGGGAACWAATTTCCTGATTAGTGCTTTAGAGATTTTGCTAATTTCCTAATTCATTAGTGGATTAGCACTTGCTAAATTTATGGGCTAAATTTATATGCACTAATTGTTATTTAAATATAAATAAATACTGATCAACATTATTGCCAACAGCTGAGGGTGAAAACTGTCAGAAGTGTTGGTCACTTCTCTACTAAATCAGTGGTTTTCARACATTTTTGCTTCCGACCCACAAAATAACAGCTGCAGACACTCATGACCCCAGATATTACTTGTTTACGTAGCAAAGTTTGCTAATAACTTTGTTAAACATGAGAATAATACAGTAACTATAAAAAACCTAGTAACTATGATACTAATTTTTATTCATTTTCACAATAACAATGATGAAAATATTAGCCTTTTTTCTTTCTTTTTTTTGCATTTAAATTGATGTCTGGAAGTCATCTAGTGACCCTCAATTGATGTTTTGTGGCCAAGAAAGAGGTCCAGACCCCAACTTTGGGAACCTCTACTCTAGATGAAATATTAACAATATTCTGCACAGAGAAAATATTGTCTCATGTTGACTCTGAGGAATGTTCCATGGGTCATCTGGGTTTTTAGTGCTTTAGAATTAGCTTTTGCTAAATTTTTCATTGTGTTAGTGCTTTAGAATTAGGGGACCTAAATATTAAAGTTAGTGCTTTAGGGTTAGTGCAACTAATTTTTAGAATAGTGCTGCCCACCACTGTTAGCAACAATATCTGCAAACATGAGAGCATTTTTTAATGTGGTGGCCATATTGAATTGGTCCCAAMTATTTGCACTGGTTAATGACAAGTTTTGCTAACAGAGCTGACACAAACAGCTAAAGTTTTAAGCAAAGATCTTGCGCGATGAGACGCACTTTGGGTTGTGTGTTTGGGATGATCCTTAGCTATGACCACAACATGTTTTAACTCAGTATTTGTAAAATTGACTGTGTTGCAGCTATTTTCATGTTTTTTTTTAATGTCAGTTGGTGATGATTTGATTCGATTTAGATTTATTTATTTAACAGGAAAAGATTATTAAAAATCAAGCCTGACTCAACATAATTGCTGTTTTACAGCAGGTTCCTGTTCTGCAGCACATAAAACACTCAGAATTACAGCATCACAATCACATCATTATACACCATAGCAACCCATTCTCACTCCCGAGTCGTCACATATTGACGTTTTTCAAAGGTCCCTTTGCGTCCAATTTTGAC